AGTTCCTCTTTGTTGACTATAGTTATTTCTCAATGCATTTCTTGAAATATTAAATTCATTACTCAAGGGAGCATATCGTAAGATTGTCATTCTCTTTATTCCTCCATTCACTTTGACTCATCATATTTGTAAATCTGACTAATCTTTAGAGCTAAATTAAATTAATTTACTATTTAAATGTTGGGAAAACTTTTTTAAAAAAAAACTATAAATTGCAATCTTGTGAAAATGGCAGATTTGTAATTTCGAGTTAGTCAGAGCCCATTTCTGGCTAAAATTTCTAATCAATGAACTGATAAAACCCAGTCCATTACAGTGGAAGAAGTTTCGTGATTTTCTCTTATTGTCATTTCATCGAACAGTTGCAGAGCACTCATCGGAAAATTCTCAATGAACACATAACGAGCAAAAACTTTCACCGGAAATTTGTAGAGAAATCGGAGAAAATGGGTGATGTAGCTGATAAGATAGCTTATTTTCAAGCGATCACCGGGGTGGAAGACGCCGGTTTGTGCACTGAGATCCTCGCTGCCCATGGCTGGGATCTCGAACTGGCGATCTCTGTTTTCACCTCGCAAAATCACCATCCTGCTACTGAGTATGCATCCGAACCCACCACCTCCAATACACCACCAACGAGCACGAATCAACCACCGGCAGAAACTGGACTCGTTGCCGGTGGCCGCGGCGGACCGCCGGGATTAGCTTGGAAGATTATTACTCTCCCCTTCTCCATCATTTCCGGTAGTCTAGGGTTGATTTCAGGTGCTGTGGGGTTGGGTGTATGGGCGGCAGGTGGTGTACTTTCGTATTCGTTGAGAATGATCGGTTTCAATTTGGGGCTTAATGGTGAATCCTCTTCACCTTTGGTATCTGTATCTGCATCAGCAGCGGAGGCAATGAGTTTCGTGGATAGTTTTGATAGGGATTTTGGGAGTATTAGGCCGAGTTTTATTGCTGAAGGTTTTATGGATGCTTTGCAGAGGTCTAGGCATGAGTTTAAGCTGCTTTTTGTGTATTTACATTCGCCTGAGCATCCAGATACGCCTATGTTTTGTGAAAGGACTTTGTGTAATGAAGCATTGGTAGCATTTATCAATGAGAATTTTGTTGCTTGGGGCGGAAGTATTAGAGCTAGTGAGGGTTTCAAGATGAGTAATAGCTTGAAGGCATCAAGGTTTCCTTTTTGTGCTGTTGTAATGGCTGCGACAAACCAAAGGATTGCTCTGCTTCAGCAGGTAAACAAAAAGTTATATGATTGTTTTGTTTTATAATGCTGTATAATATGGTGCAGTTCTATTTTGGTTGAGTATATGCAAATACTAAATCCAGAACTAGAAGTTGCTTTATTTAGTTAGAGACTAGCTTTCTATTACGTGTTGGAAACTATAAATTCTAGACTGAATAGGGATCACTAACTCAAAAGCAGTCAGCCGAATCATCTGGATAAACTTGGGATTGCTTGAGAAGTAAATCCTTGAAGCTATTCCTTCCACAAGTTCAAGCATCTGTAGCTTTTTAGTGTGATAGAGTCCTCTATAACTTGTTAACAGTCCTTTATATTGGTTAACCCTGTATAGAAGAACCCATATGACATATCAGAAGACAATGCATGTCAAAATATGATTTTTTTATGGATTGCATGATTTTGTTTAAGGACTTTGGTCGACAATATTGGACTGGGACAGAGCAATGATGACATTAACCAGTTTGTTGACCTACCTAATTTTGCATGAGATGCTCTTGAGTTTGTCAAGCACTCAAGCCTCTATCGTCAAGCCTGAACTTTGTTCTGCTTCTTACTTAAAAAAACTATCTCTTATGCGTAGCCTAATGGATTGGCTAGAAGCCTAGGATGTATTTGCTTATACACAGTGCATATCCGCTGTTTCTTATGTCACTAATAATGAAGTACATATGAGGAAATGAGAGACTTTTTGTTAGCAACGTTGGTTAGTTCAAGAGGATCAAATTGATTATGGGATATAAGATGATATGATTGCTTATCTAACTCCAAGTAGTTTTTTCTGGCTATTTGTGTTAACTTCGTCATACTGTTATACTAGTAAGTATCTGGAAGTTTCTTTCGAATTATGTAGACTTATAGTGTATCTTGAGTGTATATAATTGTTGTATGCTTAGCTAAGATGATATCTGAGATTTAGATATGTTGATGGCTTATGGATGTTATGTCCCTCTTTTTGTTACTTAATTATAACCTTGGATGAAATAGAGAGAAATGTGGCTGCTCCTATGACTCTATGTCACCTTTTTCCTACCCAGAGTCAAACCTTACGCTTCCTGCATAGATATCAGTGCACATATACTTATAAAAGAAATAAAAATCAGGGCTGTTCCATTCTTAAAAAAAAAGTTGAAAAAATCAGGGCATATATGTATAAAGCAGTAATCTGGTTAATATCTGCTGGCTTCTACAAACTTGACACCTTAAAGAAAAGGGAAAAAGTAACTGTCACAAAAGTTTCATTATTTTGGAACAATGTTCTAGTATTTTTTGTTAAGTAAAAAGAGTGTGCGTTGGTATGAATAATATGATTGTTGTTAGAGGCAGGCTGATAACCTCTTGCAGACAACATTATCCTCAATTCTCTTCCTTTTTTTGGGTCAACCCCTAATTCTCTTTTACGCGTCACTGTTTCTTGCAAGCTCAGTTTCTTTCGCCTCCTTGTCTTCTGTTAATTGATACATGTTCATGATGTTAGAAGCTATAGTTTTGAAACTAAACACCCCTTTGGAGTGTGGTGTGGGGATATCTCTTTCTGTCTCTAGCAACTATCTTAAAAGACATTACATTGATTAGCACTGGTTAGCTTTTGGCCCTGTTTTATTTTGTGCTTCATTGTTTGGCCTAGTCAATTCGACTTAATAGGAAATGTTTTGTCATTCAGTGGGTACATATCACGTGCAGATTTTTCTGTGGTTTATGTTAGATCTGTCCTTTTCTATTGTCTTAATCCTTCTTAGCTATACCATAAGCTAGATATGGAGGCTTGTATCTTTTGTTGTGAAAAGCTAATTAAAGTTCTATTTGCCTTGTTATATACCAAAAGAACTGCAAATTCGTACCAGATACTAGCTAATGTTTAGTGTAGAAGCGAACTTACTGGCCTGCCTTTTTCTATTAAAGCTGCTTCATTGACCTCTCCTTTACTTTGATGGCTTTTTGTACATCATAGTCTGATGAGCACTTTGCAGGTTGAGGGGCCAAAATCTCCTGATGAACTGCTTACTGCACTGCAAATGGTGCTCGAGGAAAGTGCACCTGTGCTTGTTTCTGCCAGGCTTGAAGCAGAAGAAAGGAGAAATAATATCCGACTAAGAGAGGAGCAGGATGCTGCTTATCTTGCTGCACTAGAGGCTGATCAGGTATATAGTTTTAGGTTTTTAAAATAGGCTTTAGCAGTTCAATTTTGAGAAAGGGTACAAAGTAATTTGTGCGCTGCTGAACTGTTCATCCTATACCAGGCTAGAGAGCGTCAGAGGCAAGAAGAGCAAGAGCGGCAGGAAAGGGAAGCTGCTGAAGCTGAAAGGAAAAGAAAGGAGGAAGAAGAGGCTCGTGAAAGAGCAGCTCATGAAGCTGCTGAAAGAGAAGCTGCATTGGCTAAAATACGTGAGGAGAAATTACAGTCACTGGGCCCTGAACCTGCAAAGGGTCCCGATGTTACTCAAGTAATCATCTTGTTCTTGTTTCTTTTATTTAAACATGCATCAGTCTATGTCATAACTCTAGAAACATGGTTGTTTCTATTGGTTTTGAGTAAGCAACTAGAAAACTTGCGAGTAAAATACACATACTAAATGCAGTAGAAATTGCTACTTTTCAGATGATTAAATTATTTGTTGGTTTCTTGTATCCTGCAGGTTTTGGTAAGGTTTCCTACTGGTGAGCGCAAAGAGAGAAGATTTCAATGTAGTACAACTATACAATCTCTGTATGACTATGTCGATTCTCTTGGATGCCTGGAGGTTGAAAAATTCAGCCTCGTGTCCAACTTCCCTCGCACAGTCTATGGCTCAGAGAAGCTCTCTCTGTCCTTGAAAGATGCTGGATTACACCCTCAGGCCAGCCTTTTTGTTGAATTGAACTCATGAGAACGATTGCTGTCTTGTGCTAGAGATAATAACATTTGTTGAAAATGGTTGTATGTCAATTAGAATTGGGCAATGAATTCAATTAGATGCACTTTTGTCTATTGTACCCTAGTTAATTTTCTACTGCTTTATCGTTAAGTTTCTGTTAATACATATATAGTTCAATTGTAATTGGCTGTAAAATCAATGACCACTTAATCTAGCAGATTATCGTTATATTCACATGAAACTCCAGATTGCAAATGGATTCAGGTACCGTCTTTTGATTGCATTTTTCAATAGGTAGAGTAATGTTACTCAAATCTAACAACTAAGAATGAGCAAAAACCATCCAACAAGTACATGTAAGTTGCTTGCAGTATTGCTGAAAAGAAGACCAATTGATTATGGGAAATTGTTGTACACTAAACACTTTGAGGTACCCAAATCTTAATCATGAACACACAAATATATATATCTGTATCTCTCTCTCTATATGTATATATCAAAACATGCGAATTGGCAAAATCTTTGCTGTTTTTTGATACTCTGTGAAATCGATCGTGCATGAAAGTTAACTCGAACACCATTGTCAATAAAGAAAGACCAAAATGTAGCAAGACACAAGCAAGCAAGCTTGGAGAAAACAAAATATACAAAAATGGCTTCGTCCGGGCTCGAACCGGAGACCTTCAGTGTGTTAGACTGACGTGATAACCAACTACACCACGAAACCTTGTTGTTCTAAGTACCAATTTTTTTAATAAATTATAATTTTCAGCCACTAATTACGTTTAAGATTGTAATACGCGGCTAATTAGACGTTAAATCAACGGCGATTAGCAACTTGATTATCTGAAAAGCGAAAGGTTAGTTGTCAAAAGTTGACAAATTATTAACCCTTTAACTCAAAAACTGCCATTTTTCCAGCTGCTTCTCTCTTCTCCATTCCCCTAAATTCTCTATTAACAAATTATGATTTTTTTAGGGATTTTGAGATTTAGGTTTTGAAATTTGTTTGCCCTAATTAATCTAGCTAGCTATATGCGTTTCAGTACTGTGTTTGAATTGTTAATTAGTTGAATTCTTCAAATGGGGGTTCTCAATTTTTCCGGTTTAATTTTGCTGAAAGCTGAGCTTTTTCAATTCCAATTCCGATTTGGAAGAGTTATTGATTCCTATTCTGTCGCCTGTGAAGCATTTTCTGAACCCTTTCTTTGATTTCATTAATTTTCTTCTTCTCTAAGTTTAGTTCTTTTTCTTTTTTTTTTTTTTTTTTTTTTTTTTGTTTTGTTTTTGGGTTTGGAGAGATGAATTCTGCGAGTTCTTGGTTTGAAAAAGTGAAATTGGATGAACCTGAAATTGTTGAAGTATCACCAGACGAGAGATACATTCGGGTAATTTCTATTTTTCTCTTTATGGTTTCTATTTATATTTGCCAAGTTTCTATTTTAGGATTATCTGATTAATCCAACTGTAGGTCCTGCTCGTTGTACTTTGTTCATTTCATTTTATAAGTTAATGCTAGAAAATTGTGGTAGTTGTATCATTTGATTTGAAAGTGAGTCTTGTTAAAAAGGGCTTATCCCATATAAAAGGGTGTGGTGTAGTGGTCAATGAAGTGGTTGAGAGTCATGAGATCTCAGGAGTTTCCTGCGGGGATATTACATGTATTCCCCCTGGGGTAGCTACAAGCATAAACCAGTTTAATAAATTACGTAGAGTGATCGCACAAATTATTTGCAAGCTTGCTTGCACACACGTGGGGAAGTTGAATCTCTCTAAGAATGGAGAACCCCGGACGTGATATTGCTAAAAAGCACCTTTTTTATATTTAATGATAAGGTTATTAATCAACAAAGCAAAAATAAAATTCTTAAAAGATGAGATAAATTCAGAAGCACTTATTAGATAATATAACTAGGTGATTCTTTCCATTTGTCCTAGCCTTAGTGGATAGAGTGTATCACTATTGTTATTCCTTATGTTTGCCTTTCTGCAAAGGGTTCTTCAAGTGCCTATGAAGAGAGTTGAGAGGTTCACGAAGTGTTTACTTTAGGTCAGAAAAAAGCTTCAAAATCTTTATAAAAGGAAGAAAGATTGTCAACTTGTTAAAGATAGTAATATTTTTTTAAACTTTAAATTTAATTTTTGAGACATGATTGTGATTGGTTATCATATGATATTAATTTCTGTTTCATTTGTGGGTTTTGGTGGTATTGTCACCTTCTTTTTGTTTCTCTTCCTCCAGTATAGTGAAATCTTGGGAAGTGGAGCATTTAAGACTGTGTATGGCTCCGACACCCATCTCCTTTTATTTTCTTGCATTTTAAGTCTAACCTCATCAGCATTATACATTTTCAAGTCTTTAGCGATTTTCAAATCTTTTCATATGTAGCTACAAGGCGTTTGACAATATTGATGGAGTAGAAGTTGCCTGGAATCAAATTTGCATAGATGATGCTTTGCAGTCGCCTGAACATTTGGAGAGAACATATTCTGAGGTTCACTTGTTGAAAATGTTGAAGAATGAGAACATTATAAAATTATATACTTCATGGGTGGACGATGTGAACAAAAGTATTAATATGATCACCGAATTATTTAGTTCAGGGAGCTTAAGGCAGTGAGTACTATATTTCTTTCATATTTGCCCTTCTTATTTATCTTTCATGCAACCTCCAGATCTTTTTATTCTTGTATCTTTTGCGTTCTCTCCCTCTTAGCTATCGGAAAAAGCATAAGACAGTTGACACAAAAGCCATTAAACATTGGGCTAGACAAATTCTCCAAGGTTTACATTATCTCCATAGTCACAATCCACCGGTTATACATAGAGACTTGAAATGTGACAATATATTCATCAATGGAAACCATGGAGAAGTTAAACTTGGAGATCTTGGATTGGCGACAATTATGGAGCAACCTACTGTTCGAAGTGTTATTGGTAGTTATTTGACTTAGACTTGCTGTTTTGGCTCCATCAAAATTAATTGTTAACCCCTCTTACCATTCTTTGTGTTTTCTCTTTGTCAGGTACCCCTGAATTTATGGCCCCTGAGCTATATGATGAAGAATATAATGAACTTGTTGACATTTATTCTTTTGGCATGTGCATCTTGGAGCTAATAACAAGTGAATATCCATATAATGAGTGTAGAAATCAAGCACAAATTTATAAGAAAGTCACGTCTGTGAGTTTTAGTTGTTTTGGGCTTTTACTTTATTTTACTTGAAAATAATTGCAATGCTAAGGAAAATATTTGATTTCAGGGAATAAAGCCAGCGTCTTTAGCAAAAATAGCAGATCCTCATGTAAAACAATTTGTCGAGAAATGTTTGGCCCCAGTATCAGTAAGATTGAGTGCAGCTGAACTTTTGGAAGACCCATTTCTTTCATCCGAGAGCTTGAAAAACCCCGTATGTGATCATTTGCAGCCCACAAATTTTGTGCCTGAAGCACAAAGCTTGCCGAAGTCAAGTTTCATGGATGTAGACCTTGCACAAAAGTTACACAGTGACATGTCCATAGAAAGCAAGACTGCATCTCCTCGTTTTTCTAATCTAGATATCGTGAGACGAAATGGGAGAAACGAATTTAGGTTACAAGGTGACAAGCATGATGATCGTTCAATTGTGTTTTCACTGCGAATAGCTGAATTGACTGGTATTTGATCATTCTTACAGAATAATACATGGAGTATTTGCAAGCAAATGTTTGACTCTTTTCTCCATTTTTAACAGGTCGGATCAGGCATGTGCACTTTGTATTTTGTATTGATGCTGACACTGTGATGTCAATAGCTAGTGAGATGGCAGAGGAGCTTGAGTTGCCGAATGACGATGTGGCAACAATAGCTGAATTGATTACTGACTTCATTTTCAAACTCTCAACAAGCCAGAAATATTCTTTTGGGAGTTCGTCTGCAGTGAATAACTCATCCAATGATTCAACTTTGATAACAGAAGATCATATTATCGGTGAAGGCATTACATCTTTGAATCAAGGGAGAGCATCAACCTCAGATGTGGAGTATAACAACGTTTTAAGGTCTCTTGGCAATGAGTCAGATAACATCAATGTACCCAAAATCCATACTCTAAGCAACAGTAAGGGGAGTCTAGGTGATGCTGTAATGAGTGATTGTACCACCAAAACTTCAGGGATCTCCTTTGATAGCTTGCTGAATGTCATATCTAATGATTTCAGTTCTAACTCTCTTATCGACGGGGCAAATGACAAAAATCAATTGCAGGATCTCAAGTCGGAACTTGATGCCATCGATATACAGTATCAACAATCTTGTCGTGAACTCTCGAGAATGAGAGAGGAGGCAATTGAAAATGCTAGAAAGAAGTGGACTGGTAAAAAGAAAATATGTACTTAACTGTTTGGTACGTATTTTGGTTTTATTTCATTCTTTATCAAACTACCTAGCAGTGTTAATGAAGTGAATTGTTTGTATACATGCTCCTAGTTGAGCTTTTGCAAGCTTAGTGTTTCCTTTTGACTTGTGAGTTGCTCACCGGGAACATACAACAAAAACATACCCATTGAATCCCACAAGTGAGGTTGATTGTACGCAGACCTTGAGGCTCTTTCCCAAAGACCCTCGGCTCAAAGTGCAATAAAGAAGGAGGCAGCAGAGAGAGTGATAATCGAAAAACAATAAACAATATACTTAGATTATTGAAAACAATAAAAAACAACGATAAAATTCAACAATCAAGAACTACCAATCGAATAAAAAAGAAAGTGTGTTTACACATTACAATTGAAGAACAGGAAATTTTGGATATTGAAAAGACTTTTCCACACCTTAAGGCTTAAGTGATGATAAAATTGAATGTATTTCTAGTTAGCACATGATTAAGATTGCAATTACTTTGACGTTCAACATAAACATTATTAATATATGACGAATCTAACTCTTAATCGACCATAGAAAAGAAAACTCATTTGGTCGATCCGTCTCATACATAGTTGATTGACTAATATAAATAACTGGTCGTAAATTTTTCCTTGTTCTAACAGGTCTTTATAAAATAATTCGAATGAAAATTTTGACTTGTACACGATCGATAAATAGTCAATAATAGTCTAGTTTTTGTTTATGTAATTGAAATTTCAAGATATTATCATGGATTTTTTGATATGGAATTTGAAATTATATGATATGGTTATTTTCAAATTATAGGATTGAAAAATGAAAAGTGGCTAGTTCTTTGAGTACACACATTTCCTATTATAGAATACTACTTAAATGTCTATGTTCGTTAAATCAATTCGACTTTTGTCTATATACATATATACTATATAGTTTTAAAGAGTTTTATTTAGGTGGTCGTTTTCACGTCACAAAAATAAAACAAAATACAAGTTGTGTAAGTAATTATGATGGACCACAGCAGTCATCATCACATGCATATATAGACAGGAAATAATTAAAAGCGGATTCATAATTTAAATTAAATGAATTTAATTTTAAAGTTTTTTTTATATTAAACTCATTATAGTATCAAAATTCGGAATTATGTTGAAGAATCATGACGTGACACAACTTGATAGAAAAATACAATATTCTTCAATCTGTTATCTACTTGTAACTTTTTACTTTTAGTTGTCAAGAAAAAATGTCATCTTCATGCATCTTTTCAAAGAAAAGATACTACTGTTCTTCTAACCATCTATTTTTTACACCATCAACGTAGTAAATTATCCTCCCTATTTCAATTTTTAGATATATATCGTTTGACTTGACATTAAAGTAAAGAAAATAAAATTATAATTATAATCTAAAACAAATGTAAACACATGGAGGATTATAATTTAGTTAATTAATGATTAAAAAAGGAATTTTTAAAGTTAAAGTTGCTTGATCGGTGCAGTAATGTCTATTGTATGCGGTCCTATGTTGTATTTCTACAAAAAGAATATTTTCACAGCTCGTTCCCATATCATCCTGTTACGTGTTAGGTAGAGAGATTCTTCCACGTTTAAATGCAAATCATATGGTTCTAATGTATCTAATCCTTCTCTCTCTCTTTGTACTATTCAAGAATTCACCTAATCCAATAATACAGAAACAAGAATAAAATAAAAGATTCTCCAACATTTGAAAGCAAATATATAGGTAGAGGCAATAATTCATATATATCACTGGTCACATACAAAAAAAAAAAGAAACAAAACAAATTCAACCAATGGAAGAATCTGCATCTGCAATCAAGACTCCTCTTTGTAAGACTCTTTTTCTCCTAACTCAATTTGATTCTGTGTTGCTCGGGCTCTTTAAATATGTCAGTACATCCATCTGTATTAGATCCTAAAAAAACGAATGAGTTTTTATAGGATCTGACATGTTGTAACAACATTTCTGAAGGATCCGAACATTAACATAGGTGTATTTGAGATCCAAAATTGAAAACTCTGTCTGTTTTGTAGTATCCAATTTTGATCATGGCATTGCATCAAGCTCTAATGTCAAAGTCAACAAGGATGATGAAGACGAAAATTCGCCAATCGAACAAGTTGCTCTTACTGTTCCAACAACTGATGATCCTTCACTACCTGTACTCACTTTCCGAATGTGGTTTTTAGGGACACTTTCGTGTGTTCTGTTATCATTTTTGAACCAATTTTTTTGGTACAGAACAGAGCCATTGACAATTACAGCAATTTCAGCTCAAATTGCTGTGGTTCCTTTGGGTCAACTTATGGCTGCAAAGATAACAAAAAGGGTATTTTTGCAAGGATCTAAATGGGAATTCACTTTAAATCCAGGCCCTTTTAATGTTAAAGAACATGTCCTCATCACCATTTTTGCAAATTCTGGTGCTGGAACTGTTTATGCTATTCATGTTGTCACTGCTGTTAAAGTCTTTTATAAGAAAGACATTACCTTCTTTGTTTCTCTTATTGTTATCATCACAACACAGGTAATTAATCGTAACGACTGACTGACGATGTATATAACTTTAAACGGTGTAATTTTTTGATAAGATTTTTTGAATGGTAGGTGTTGGGATTTGGATGGGCTGGAATTTTCAGAAAGTATTTGGTTGAGCCAGCAGCCATGTGGTGGCCTTCCAATCTTGTCCAAGTCTCATTATTCAGGTAAGTTTCGTAATCGCCGTTACACTATCAAATAATAACTCGAGAGAGGTAATAATCGTTCATATTAATAACATATAGAATAAAAGTCATCACATTACATGTTAAAATCAGCAGCATAGGGAGTTCAATCGATCTTCTTCGTCGAAAAAGTTATATGGCATAATTGAGATAAAAATGATTTTTATACAAATATAAATTTTAAATTGAGAGAAATTGTTGATTGAGACCACGATCATTATTTTGGGTAGGTTGCGGCTGATAAATATGACAGCGACACTTGGACCCCACAAGTTGTTTTTTTGAAAATATTCTTTGGGAATTAGGTGAAAAATAAATAATTTTAGAAGATATTTATATGGGATATTAAATGGAAATTTCATTATGTTAGGTAATTAGATATATAAAATTATTTTTTCTTGAATACACACATTTAATTAGCGTTAATGACAAAGTCAATGAATGTTGCGAACGAAATAGTAGTAAAATTCAAACTCGTAACACTATGATCAAATTATAACCTTAAGATCATGACCGCGATGTTCCACAAGGGTGTTTGCAACATATTTTAAAGTGAGAAAATGGATTGCAATCACAATAAAATAAGAAGAAACATAACTTTATTCATCAAGATTGCGGGTACAATTCTGTTCTTGATTCTCCTCTCATAGGATTTATCCATGATTTGAGGGTCGTTAATGGCGTATTTCTCGAACTAAGATAATTTAGATTTGACCTCTATATGAATATTCCATGACTTTTATGGAATATATCGAGGTCTTGATACCTTTATGAAATTTTTGAGATGCCTTTTAAGAGAATTTAGTACCTTTATATAGGCATAAACTAGGGTTTATGATTGAGTAACCTCTAAGAATTCTAATTGAAACTGAACACACCTTCTAGAGTCACAATTTGAATTGAACACTAGAGTTCCACAATATTTCAATGTCTACAAATGCCCCCTGCTTCAAGGCTTGCCGGAGTGTAGACTTGACGAAACTCAAAGACAAGGCTTGAAGTACTTATTCTTCCACCTTTACGGCTTCAAGTTTTTAGATTTGATTTATGAGAGAAGAGATGAAGGCCAAATTTGGTCCTACTGGGCGTGTCAATTTGTTTGCAACAAATTTTAAAGTGACAGAAAATAAATTGCAATCACAATAAAATAAGAAGAAACATAACTTTATTCATCAAGATTGCAGGTACAATTCTGTCCTTTTCTTGATTCTCCTCTCATAAGATTTATCCATAATTCGAGGGTCATTAGTGACATATTTCTCGAACTAGGATGATTTAGATTTGACCTCTATATGAATATTCCATGACTTTTATGGAATATATCGAGATCTTGATCCCTTTATGAAATTTTTGAGATGCCTTTTAAGAGAATTTAGTACTCTTTATATAGGCATAAACTAGGGTTTATGATTGATTAGTCTCTAAGAATTCTAATTGAAACTGAACACACCTTCTAGTCTCTAAGAATTTGAATTGAACACGTCTTGCAGAGGCCCACAAAATTTCAATGTCTACAAAGGGACTACTCTTTTTCACATGAATATGTTTGTGGGATCTTTACACGTACAAGTATTCACATATTATACACTTATATATAGATTATACATCGGTCAGCTATTTTTAGTTTAACATAGAGCTTCATTTGCAGGGCTTTACACGAGAAAGAAGAACGTTCTAAAGGAGGGCTAACACGTACTCAGTTCTTTATAGTAGCCTTTATCTGCAGTTTTGCATACTACATTTTCCCTGGATATCTCTTTTCAATGTTGACATCTTTGTCATGGGTATGTTGGATCTTTCCAAAATCAGTGTTTGCCCAACAACTTGGTTCGGGCCTAAAGGGGCTTGGAATTGGAGCAATAGGCCTTGATTGGTCCTCTATTTCGTCCTACCTTGGAAGCCCATTAGCTAGCCCATGGTTTGCTACAGCTAATGTTGCTGCTGGATTCATATTTGTTATGTATGTTTTGACTCCAATATGTTACTGGTTAGATATCTTCAAAGCCAAAACATTCCCAATTTTCTCTGATGGAATGTTCACTTCCAATGGCCAAGTTTACAACATATCAAGTATCATTGACTCTAATTTCCATCTTAATATTGATGCCTACGAGCAACAAGGACATCTTTATCTTAGTACATTTTTTGCGGTTACTTATGGAGTTGGCTTTGCTGCTCTCAGTGCTACTGTCATGCATGTTCTCTTATTTCACGGAAGGTAAGAAACATTGGGTTGGGGCGAGCTTAAATAGCTTGGGACTGAGGCGTGATTGTAGTTGTTGTTGTACTAATTTGACATGCTATACATGAAAAAGGGAAAGTTATGTTATAATGAGTTTTATCGATTTCAGGGAGATATGGGAGCAGAGCAAATCAAGCTTCAAAGATCAGAAAATGGACATACACACTAGACTAATGAGCAAGTATAACCAAGTACCTGAGTGGTGGTTTTGGTGCATTCTTGTAGCGAACATTACACTCACTATCTTTGCTTGTGAATATTACAATGAACAACTTCAGTTACCTTGGTGGGGAGTTATTTTAGCTTGTGTCATTGCCTTTTTCTTTACCCTTCCTATAGGAATCATCACCGCCATTACCAACCAGGTAACATCTTTGCTTGGAGTTGGACACGAATCCAATTACTCAAAAGATCAATCAACTATACGAAATTACCTAGTAAAGTCATGTTTCTTTTGTCTGTAACAGAAAAGTCACTAAATTACTTATATTTTTGAACATTGTAGACACCAGGGTTGAATGTCATCACAGAATATATCATAGGATACCTTTATCCAGGATATCCGGTCGCTAACATGTGCTTCAAGGTTTATGGTTACATTAGTATGACACAAGCTATAGCTTTCCTCCAAGACTTCAAGCTTGGCCATTACATGAAAATTCCTCCAAGAATAATGTTTATGGCTCAGGTAAGCTACTCGCTAGAATGGATAACGTAGATGATTCTGTCTCTGCCCCTGTTAATGCTTACCATCATACATGTATAAGTACTTACAATAGTAGAAAATGTACAATGCAGGTAGTAGGTACTCTAATAGCAGGGTTCGTGTATTTGGGAACAGCATGGTGGTTAATGGAAACGATTCCAGACATATGCAACAAGACATTGTCCAACACGGTGTGGACTTGTCCTTCGGATCATGTGTTTTATGATGCATCAGTGATTTGGGGTTTGATTGCACCAAGAAGGATTTTCGGAGATTTAGGAACTTATGGGATGGTGAATTGGTTCTTCTTATTTGGCGCGATAGCACCAGTACTTGTGTGGTTAGCAGCAAGGGCATTTCCTAAGCAAGAGTGGATCAAACTGATCAGCATGCCAGTGCTAATAGGAGCAACAGGAATGATGCCACCAGCCACAGCTGTGAACTATACGACCTGGATCATCGTTGGGTTCTTATCTGGCTTTGTTGTTTATCGGTATAGACCAGATTGGTGGCAACGACATAACTATGTTCTTTCGGGTGCACTTGATGCTGGTTTGGCATTTATGGCAGTACTTATATATTTGTGTTTGGGCTTGGAGAACATAACTGTTAACTGGTGGGGAAATGATCTTGATGGATGTCCTTATGCTGCTTGTCCAACAGCTAGAGGCATTGTTACAGAGGGTTGCCCAGTTGTTTATTGAATTGTGAATAACAAAGTCAATTGGGTTGAGCTTCAAGTTGATGCATTATATTTTGTAAATTTGGTTCCTCACAAGTAGTACTGTGTCAAACAACTAAATATGTACCTTTTGCAAATAGAACAAATTATATATCCTTTAATATCTCCTTTGTTCCTTGCTTACAATTACAATTAATTAAAGAAGCAAAACAACATTAATGAAAATATGATACAAACATATATTTTTGACTTCACAATGCATAACACGTTATTTCCTACTGTCAGTCCTTTTAATTCTCAATCGCCGTCTTATTATATTAAGTGATTTTTGAATCACATCGTTATTTTTAAGAATAGAATTTTTTTACTCATAAACGTGTTAGAATTAATTTTACATAACCTTGTCAAATATATATATATATAAAAGTTGAACGATATTTGTATTATTAGTTGCTCTTCAATCTCAATTGTTCTTCTCATTATTTTTGAAATATTCAAGAGCTGAATGTGCATATTTAATAATTAGTCGGTAAGTTCACAAAATAAAATTTGTCATCAAATTTAGAAAATTTATGAATGTATAAATATTTGATATTCTACGACCCTTTTAGACAATAATAAAATATGAAAAAAAAAAATATGTAAAAGATTGATACATAAAAGATATAGTATTAAAAGAATCCTAACTCAATTTCTAATTATAAAATCAACTTAGGCTAATTTTTTCCAAAAGATCATTATAACCAAAAGAAAAGAAAGAATAATTACATGAATTTGCCCTTAAATTTAATTTTATAATACTTATTTCATTTGTGGTTCATATTATGATTACCTCTCTTACTTTAATGTATTATGTAATAATTTTCTTAACCTGATTATTACTAATTCATACACTCAAAAAGAAATTTAAATGATGAATTTCATTTTATAATAGTTCACTATATAGTTGGATTGATGAAATAATAATTAATTAAGAAGTAGATAAATGAGTTCAAAGTCTGATCTTCCAAACAATTTATACCCTCTTTTTAGCCAAAATAATAATAATAATAATAATAATAATAATAATAATTTAATTCTCTGTCTCCACTAAATCAAGTATAATTAAATATGTTCACACTAATCTTTAATTAATTATCCCTCCCTCCCGCCCTTATAAATATGTTGTTTTTGATAGTCACACATACAACTGTTTGATAATCACACATACAAGTTTTTGATAATCACACATACAAGTGTTTGATAATCACACATACAAGTTGTGTTGCCAAGTTTATGATTTTTTCTCAAAATAAAATGACCATTTATATCCCTTCCCAAGCGTCTCTTTGACTGTACTCCCTCACCCCTTCACTCACCAACCCTACACATTTATATCCCTTAATATTTTTATTTTATGGGAAAAGGCTCAAATATGTCATCGAACGTTGAGAAAAGATTCATCTAGGCATCCGTTAAAAGTTTAGCTCATCATCTATGCCATTTTCGTTTGAGAAGAGTTTTATCCATGTCACTATTTGTTAACTCTAAACAGTTTCGATTTTGCAAACTATTTTTTACATATGGTCAATTATGATTCGGCCACGTCATTAATTGAATCATTTTTTTTAAAACGATTTGAGAAAAGGTTCATCTATGCCATTTGTTAAAAGTTTGACTCATCTATGTCATTTCAGTTAATAAATAATGACATGAATGAATATTTTTTCAAACAAAAATGACATAAATGATACTTTTTATCAAGGTTTAATGACATATTTGAGTTTTTCTCCAATTTTATTTAGACTTGAATTATGAAGGGATAGCATAGGAATAGAGTAAATATTGAATTTTCTTAAAGAATTATAATTTGTACACATTCCAATCAATTAAAAAGATAAGTGTATCAATTTTCATTTTTGAAGAATCAAGAGGATAAGAAGAAAAGCTCAGTATGAAGAGCACATCAATTTCCTCATTACTTCCATACCCAAAAATCCTCTTCAGCAAAAGAGCATTTCCCCCAATTAATTTCTCAAGCACAGCTCCATTTTCAGGGCAGGTAAAATTTCTAAGCATAAATTGCAGTAATAGCTCGGAAAATGGTGACATGGGGAATTTGAAGGATGCATTGACTGGTATAGTGGACGAAAGAGTAGAAGAACTTTTGAAGAGGGAAGAAAATAGGGTCTTACTTGATGGGTTGGAGAAAGCAACGCTGAGAGTAGAAATGGCAAAGAAAGAACTTGCTGAAATTGAAAGACAAGAATTGGAGGCTAAATTGCTAAAGGATTATATCACCCAGCTCGAAACTAGAACTTCCGAGGTCTGTTATTTGTTTTTTTTTTTTGAAGAATTGATCTGGATAGTTGGTTGATATATAATAATTGTATACATGTTAGGAAAAGTAATCAGTGAATTCGACATGGGATTAGAACTATAAGGTCTCAGGTTTAAATCTCAATGGATACAAAAATACTGCGATTTCTTTACATCTGTCTTGGCTTTGATGGATAGAGTTGTGTGCTACCTGATGTTGGGAGGTTTTAGGTAGGTATTGCGTGGAATTAGTCGAGGTGGGTGAAAGCTGACTTGAACACTAAGAAAAATTAAATCTTTTTTCTTCATTCTTCCTTGGACTTTAACTATTTCGCCTAGCTATTCTTGCATAGTAATTTTATTGAATAAACATATGTGCAATACAACTGGATAACTCTATGTACAAAGGAACAAGTGAATTGATGCATTTGGGCATAGGCAGCCCTCTGCTGTTCAATGGTATGCCATTATCTCATTATGCATCGTATCGTATTAGTCTAGCTAGATATTGAGAGAAAGGGAGAACTTAGTTTTGGATATTCTTTTTATATTGATAGGGATTATTATTCGATCCTAGATTTTTGTCATTATCCATAGATTGTTTTGAATTGCAAATTCGCAATTGTTTAACCATGGTAAAATCCAGAGCAATGATTTGAATTACTTGGAAGATTTAGAATAGTCTGTAGGTGTAAATTCTATGAATTTTCGAGACCATAATAGAGTTACTTGATTATATGCTCAAAAAAACTAATGCATTGTCGTAAGGGGATTGTAAACGAACTTCTTACTAAGTTATACCCGGGCAAAGGGGACTCTAAAGCAAACTCGGTCCAAATTTACAAAAATCATGTTTTAACACCTTGTATGCCCGTGTTGGATAAAAGTGAGACTTACAGAACGTCTAACTTCAGGAAACCGTTAAGGAACCTTGTCCCCCGGCCCTTGATCATTGTGTAAATAGAGCATAATGGATACAAAGGATTTTTAGAACTGATATCTATTACTTTGGGATTGACGCATAGTTGAATGATTGATTGAAATGTTTTAGCACTTTACAAAAGGAGGGTGCTTCAACTGTCTGAACGTCTCAAGAATGATTATATTGTTCTTAGTATTTCAGATGTTCTAAAGATGTCATTAAAGCTTTTTTTGATCAACTGTTTGTCCTCTCTAATAGTTAAGGTACTGATTGGTTGATGCAATTGAAGATTGCAGAATGCCAGAAAGATATTTTAGAAGCAAGAGCAATGATTGAAGAAGCTGAGCGTTCCCTCAACGTTAGTGGTGATGCTAGAAAGAGAGATGCAACAGACGGGGATGTAGTGAATAGAGATGAGGAAAGAGTAGAATCCATAAAAGCAGCTTCACTTTCTGCAATTGTTGGCACACTTGCAGGACTTCCCATTTTCTTAAGTCGGATTTCCAGCAGTTCTGAGCTAATACTCCCTCTGTCAATCACATTTATTAGTTGTGCTTTGTTTGGTGTAACCTTCCGCTATGCTGTAAGAAGAGACTTGGATAATTTTCAACTCAAGTCAGGAACATCTGCAGCATTTGGCGTTGTCAAAGGTATTATACTCTCATGCTAGGCATTGTAATGTGTCGCCTTTCTCCTTCCATTTTCTTGTGTAATTTTAAGAGGATTCGGAATAGAAAGGAGTAGGTCAAAGTCTTGAGAATTTTATAGCGTCAAGGGTTCAGCATGGCCTACCCAAGGCGTACATTGATTAAATCAAGGCTTCAATTGGCCGAGTAATTGATTGGCTAGATCACGGGTTCAATGTGCTGAGAAACAATGTTCTCAAGGTTATTCCTTGCTGAGTTCGGATGCTTGTTTCTTTGTTTCGTTGCTATTGATGCACACATATTCAGTTCCATCCAGCTTACTGCCTTGGGATAAATTGAAGTATTCTGGATTTTTTGTCTGTACATATGATCCTGGTCTTGCCAAAAAAAGCTTCCGCGATAATTTATTTATTTTTAAGTTAAAGGATTCTATTGCATTCAATGCAGGCATTGCTACACTTGGAGGTGGACCACCATTGGAGTTGGATGCAGCCAGCTTCTGGTCCCATGCTCTTGATGGCGCGGTCTATGTCTCGGAGAATCTTTTGATCTTCCTTTTTGCTGGAGTTGGCCTGGATTTATGCTTTAAGCTGAGGATTTTGAGCCCTTTTCCCATTGATAGATCAATTTCAGAGACCGATAAAATTTAAACACCTTGTTGCCTATTTATTATTTCCAAGTGTATATACACACCCAGTAAATTAACTTTGTAACAATTGCTCTAAATAGAATTATACTTGACAATTCTGTCTATAAGCGCCATTCACTGCAATTATCCATAAATCCAGTAAAATATTGTCAGGTCATTCACAGGAGACTAGTTTCAGAAGGGATAAAGCTGCGCTTGGAGTATCTTTCCGTCATTCAAGTTATGTGGAATAGCTATGATTTGGGTATTTCCAAAGACAATTCCTCTATAACAACAATATTACATGATAACGTCTTCAAATAACTATGGGATGCGTCCACATGAGTGTGCTGCAGCTAAACGCAAGACTAAACTCTCGTGGAGGAGAAATTTAAACTGAACCTTGTATCTACTTGTTCATGGTATTTACAACATTGAAACAATGCAAGCTAAATGACCTATATATCTTCCATTTCCTAAACAGGTTAGAGCATTGAGATTCAAAAAGGGGCCACGCCTAAAGAATGATATCTTCAACGGATGTCAAGTGTGTCATCAACTGGAGCCAGTCTCAGTCTAAATCCTGAAAGTATGAAAAATATCTTGTTATTTGAAGAAAAGACAACAATGATCTGTCAAACAGACTTAACAAATAAACATTTTGATATAACCTAAAAGTAGAAGTGAGAACCTCATAGTCATCCAACCGAAAGCCCACAATAGTTGGTTTCTTAGCAGAAACCCTCGTCCTCTTTGATTCAGCCAATGCTCTCTCTATATCAGACTGTGACAATGGTCTTGGTGCCTGTAACAGAGGAGTTACCATGTGTTTTTCTATAAGTCAGAACAAAATGCACAGATATTTGATCTATGACATGCATGCCACCATGTGTGATTTTGCAGGAAAAGCAGATAATAATAATCAAAGAACAAAACAACTTGCGGGAGTTTGTGTATATATATAGAGGGAGAGAGAGCCACCTGTGATTGCTCTCCTTTCTTCTCATCTTGCAAATACTCCCTAAGAGGAATAAAGGCAGCTTGCTTGCAGGCTTCAAGAATGTCTGAACCAGTGTATCCCTCACACAAGCCAGCAAGTCGATCAAAATCAATGTTATCTTCGATTCTCTCACCCTTCAAAACTACCTTCAGTATCTTTGTTCTATCACTAAGAGAAGGTTTTCCAATCTCAAATGCCTGAGAAAAGCGTCTAATTATTGCCTCATCAAGGTCACTTGGGCGATTGGTTGCTGCCAGGACCATTACTCTAGCATTCTCTGCAGAGAAGGAAATTTCATTCATTTGTCACTCATAAGTCATATGTGGTATGGCATTCATCAAACAACATATTTATAAGTGTTATATCATTCATCAATGACTATTATATTAGTTAGTCAAAATGAATGCTTAACAAAAGAGACTTCCTAAGTTTCTTTAGAACAGATGAGTTTGAGAGTGGAGAGATCAGATTCAGGGCCACATTTTCTGCAAGCAATTCATACAAAAAGCATGGAGTAAAATGGGGATGGCATGTCAAACCAGGGATAAGTTATAATGTACTAAAGTAAGACATGCTACCAGTGCAGCTAAATATGTCTGTACCTACAGCATAAAGGAAGTACGTAAACTACTGAAACAGAATTGTATATCGATCAAAAACAACATTCTAAATTATGTATGTAGATTACTTTTAAAACACCATGAATGGATGCTACAGAAATATTTCAAACAAAGAAGACACAAATGTGCAAATACAAAGATTGGTTTAATTTCCATGGGTAAAGCTAGAATTATATATGAACTGGAAAATGAAGAGCAGTTGGAAAAAAAGAAACTAGCTATTCACAGGACTTCTTAAAATCATCTTTAAGGCAAAATGGAAACCAAATGCAGATTGTTACACTCACGATCAGTAGTAAAACCATCCCATAAGGCCATGAACTCAGTTTTCATGCTAGTCAGCATTTCAGTATCTGTTGAACGACGCTGGCCCAAAAAACTGTCAACTTCATCAATAAATATTATAGCTGGCTGGAGCTTGTAGGCCAAGCTAAAAACAGCAGCAACTGCCAAAAGAAAAAAGAAGAGGGAAGGGAAAAGAGAAAAACAAAGGTCATATTCTTATGGAAAATTGAACATTAAAGCTAGTAAATGCCAACATAGTATGAAAATGAACGTGCAGTCTAGTCTTATCCAGTTTCTTCTTCTTCCTTCCCACTATAGAATAACTGCAATTGTTAGCAATAGAAAGTCAAACCCTCGTTTCAAAATCACTTATGAAGGAAGATAGCATGTTGCATGCTAAAACCCCACTTCTTAAAACCTAACCCCTTCAAAAGCTCCTAAGTTTTTCGGTTTTCTTCCTTTCAGTGCCACATGGAACTTTAAAGGCAGATTGGAATAGCTCCTTTATTAAAACAAAATCAGAAAGCTAGCAAAAAAGAAAAAAGAGAACATTATTCTAAGCAATATATTTCCTCGAGTGTGAGAGGAAAGTTTTTTCACTGGGTATGTTGTTGTTGTTGTTGTTGTGAGAGGAAAGTTTTTATTTCTTTTATCAAAATCTTAGCATGCTAAACCATCCCTCAATTTCTTGGTCATCCAACCAAATAGATCATAGCAATTAATATGGAGTTTTCAATAAAAAGACGGAACAAAAGTCCAATTAGATTTCTAATTTACAACAAACTTAGCTATGCAAAGGCATTGTGAAAGACTCACCGAGCTTTTGGGCGTCACCAAACCACTTGCTCATTAGAGTAGAAACCTTGACATTTATGAACACAGCACCAGACTCTTTGGCAATCGCTTTAGCAAGCATTGTTTTCCCTGTCCCAGGTGGTCCATACAATAGAACCCCTTTCATTGGACCAAGCAATTTTCCTTGACAAAATAACTCCGGCCTTCGCAGAGGTAAAATGGCCAGCTGAAACAAAGTTTCCTTAATACCATCCAGCCCCCCAATCGAATCAAACTCCACATCTATGTGGTCTGGATTCACAACATCCCCAGTTATCATATCCTGCAACGAATTACCCAATAAATGAGAAGAAAAAAAGAAGAAGACCAAATCACCCAAGAAAATCAAACCACAAGAAAGCATGCAACATATCCTGTAAAATATTACCAAGAATAACTACTACGCCTCAATCTCAAGCTACTTGGGGTCAGTGCATGAACCCACACTGCCATGTCACTCTATTTGGGCACATTTCATTCCGGCAGTCTATAATTTTTTAGTTTCTTGATATATTTCATTCCGATAATAACTTCTTGTTTCCATCACTAATGATTCCCCAATTTTCCTAATAAATGTTAAGTATCACAACTCTAGTGGTAAGATCTCACTTGTGATGCGTGGGTTAGGTGCATGTTATAGGTTCGAACCCCACTGTTATTTAAGTGGAGAAGGGTAGAACGGGTCCATTATCCATCAAGTTTAGAACTTTTTATCACTTCCCCGAGGTGTTTTCTGAGTTACAAAAAAAAAAAACACAGTATCACTACTAAGCCTTAATCTACTCATTTCTATTTTACATTATCATCAAATGACACTACAGACTAAATTTCCTTTTGTCAAAAATAAATTGTGAATAGAGGTGAAAATTAGATGCGTATACCTCATAGGGAGTGGTGTAAATAAGAGTGCGACCTAAGCGTTTGGAGAGGTGTTTGCGGGATTCAATAGCTTTCTTAGAAGCTTCGCGATTTGGGTCGAGATGGCGAAGCCCAACAAATAACACAGCCATGCTTAATGCTGCGCTTGCAGCGTACAGTATAAGGTCTTGTATCAGCTTCCCACTACTGCTTCCCGCCATTGAAGGTTTTTAGGGTTTCTTCGTCTTTCTTTTATGATGAGAATAGGTAAGATTTAACTTCTTTTTTTGGTTAAAGGTCAACGAATATAACTAACAAATCTTTGTTGAGGCCAATTGCCAGGTAGGCCGCTGCGTTTAGCAAAGGAAAGTGGAGCTAAATTTATACACAGGATGGAGTATTAAATTATTAAAATTAAATGAAAAATGAAAAATAATTTTACTTCATCGTGGTTAAATTATAAGTAAAAATACATTATATGAAACGTACATGTCTTATATTACATTCGTTACTTTGGTATAATACCAAGAGTGAACAAGTTTCTTATAGTAAAGAAAAGGGGACATTATACTATTTTAGTTGGCTTCAAAAGTAAATGATGAAAGATTGGATAGGAATATTTTGATCAAAAACAAAATATTAGCTCTTTCATGATTTAGTACTAGCTCGTTCAAGAGGAAGCATAGCCTAATAAGATTTTTTCCATATCTAATTCTTGAAATCAAGATCTCTAGAGGGATCCTACCACAACTCTTAGCCCATATTTCTAGTTACTCTTTCAACCTAGCATAAGTAACATTCTTTCAGTAACACCATCACGTATCTCACACTTGAAGCTTATTTATAAGCTATGAAATTGTGATAAATAGTGTTCTGCATCCACTGGAATTTAAGATTGCAGATCAAAAACACTGATGAAAATTCTTCACGAGGGTACACAATTTATGAGCTCAGACCTGCCAATACAGCATGAACCTTTGTTCAACGTAAAAATACTAAGAAAACAAACTTCCCTTGATATATAGAACTCGGGAAGAGAAACAACATACAACTGGGAAAAGATGGTAGGCCCTGGTCCAATCTTGATAGGAGACCATTCAGATATTTGCTGCAGAGTTGAATCATAGCACGTTAAGATCAATCTGTTGTGTACAGAAGATGCTTATTGTTTGGTCAGTGAACTACCTACACAGTTACACTCCAGTATATGATGTGCTCCTTCCAAGGATTGGCATTAGACCCGTCAAAACTCAGCCTTGAACATGCAAATTTAATGCTTCTTTGAACTAGGATCTTCTCCGTCTTCATTCAAGTGCTCGGGATTTTCAGGTCTTCTAGAAATTTCCCACCTCCTTTTCTCATCTGCTGAAGGCAACTTCTTAAGATCATATGTTTCCTCCTTCATGACATTTTGAACGATTAGATAGGAATGATAAACTTCTAAATCATTTACATGTGTTAATAAGTGCTTCACGCGGTCTATACCTTTTCTGACATTCTTACATCTTTCTTCCCAGCTATTGAAGTTCCAGTACCGGTAAATTTATCCAACACCTGAAAGTTTCCATCTTTTTGGAATGCTTCCAGCTGGAACAAGATGAAACTTTCAATGAGGATGATACGATTCAGGTTACACAAAGCGTAGTAATAAACTAAATAATGAAATGGAATTATAGAAATTACCGAAGGAATTGAAGAACAAAAAGAATCTCTGACCCTAACCAAACGTTAAGAATACAAATTGATATTTGAAATCAATCACCCCTAATAGAACGACAAGACATAACCAAAGATATAAAGATCAAAGGAAGAAAAGAATTACCATGAAGACTTCAAGCTTGAAAGTAATTTTCAAGTTCAATCCTAACTATAAGGTTTCCAACTTCACAATTTTGTTTGTATTCACAATTGTCAATCTCCTCCTAAACTATGAGTCTAGCAAGTATTTATAATTATTATGTCCCTATCCGAATCAACAAAGGAAATAAGTAAAAACAAGGAAAAGCAAATCCCAAATCTACTAAACACTATAGTAAGTAGAATCTAAAAAGAAAAGGAAACAGGAAAAATTTACTAAAAATAGAATTCAAGAACTCCCATTATTGAAAGGAAACAAAAATTACGGTTGAGATGCTCTAGTCTGCTCGCAATAAACCCTGTGTGAGCCGGGCTATCCAGGATCGTATCAGAGAACCTCAGCATAATTGATTTATAGAGTTTGAGATAGACTTTAAATATATTACCTGAATGTGGAAGATGCACAAGAGGATGCTAGCAACGGGTAGAAAGCTATCCTCAGGAGATAGAGACAGATTGGTGCTGCATACGATAAAAGAGCATCAGAATGAAATGCTTGGTTATAAATATCAAGGCAAAATGACTCAACTAAACATCAGAAAATGCTGATCATGCCTTTGCCTAAATTTATAGCAGCAGGGAATGCCAGCTTTCTAGAGAATCTGATGTTATCAAGAAAGGACTAAAAGAACAAAGGATGTCTTCGGAGAGTGGTTAAAAAGATTCAAAATTTGTACGGGCTCCCACATGCAAGCTTCACTAGCACCATTTCATTGCATTTTTTCAAGTTCCTTGGTGAAAATCATAGGGCCAACCCAGACTAGTTTGTGAACTTTAAAATGTTACAAGTGTTTATAGTTCAATAGTTAGGGTAATTGTCTTCCAACAATAAACTTTAAATCTTACAATCATATCAAAGTTGGAAGCTTAAAATGGAAATCAAGAAGGATAAGCAGTCATTCATGGAAATAGAGATTACAATCCTTCATTTACCATGACTCGTGAAGGATCCTTGTAATATAGATGACAGAATAGAACTCTATGTGTTTTCTTTCTTTCTGCTTGTTCAAACTTCAATACATTCCTTAAAGCACATTCAGGGTGCTGACAAGAGATGATATTAAAACATCACCTAGAAAACTAAAGTTTTAAGAGCTCCGTACCTTAAATATGGAGCCAAATACACAAGAGCATAAACAGCATAACGCGGTTTCCCAGTATCCAACCAAGCGAAAACCCAACTCTACAAAGTAAACCAGAAAATCAATCAATCAATCACACCTTAATCCCAAGTTAGTTGGGCTTAGCTATATGAATCCCCTAAATGGTTCTAAACGCCTAAATTCTAATGTAGAACAAATGATTATTAATATGCAATGAGAAAAATCTCACCATCCAATTAAAATACGGAATGAAGCTGATAATTCCCATGACAGCAAACCTCGCATCAGCAGAATCAATTGTGGATTCACCATCGTCCTCCTCCGTGTAAGTAGTCGGGAAAACCCACGAGCTCAAAATGCAAGCACCAATAGCAGCGGCGTATGGCACATCGTTTGCAAACTCTGCCCGGCAAGTTCCATTTCTCAATCTTCTCTACAAAATCAATAACAATTAACATATTTCAGCTCTATTGAGCTCATTTTCATTCCAATACAGGTAGGTATTTAAGTTAAAATGAGATTAGAACAAGTAGTAATTAAGTTAATTACCAGATTAAGCTTGTTGCGGAGGCGAGCTCGATAAAGAAGAGGTCGGAGAGTTGGTAAGAGAGAAGATCGTAAAGACGGCGACGAAGTAGAAAGAAGTAGAGCTGAAGTGGAAGTGAGAGATTTCATCGCCGGAGATAGAGAACGGCGACGGCAGCATCTAATCTGTCCCGGCGAAGTGTTTGGTGATTGGAGTAGGTTAGGATTATAGAATTAGTATTAGTCAGAAAAGGATTCGTGAATACTGTACGTTTTTGAAAACAGTGCCCCTTAAAATAAAGGAATATCTTATGGGTTCTGTTTGGCGCTTTTCATTTTCGAAAGCGGGTCCACTGCCAAACAAACATTACGAACTTGCTCATTTTCATTATTTATATATACATAAAATAATATTTAAAACATATCCGTCATTAAAACTAAAATATTATATTATTTTACATACAAAATTACGTAGTAACAAAAAATAATAATGTAAAGGAAAATTAAAATTATTACATCTTATTATTTATCCTTTAATAACATAAACATAAATTAATGACTATAAAAATACATACAATGATCTGTAACATAAGCAATGGTGTCAGTGAGTCACTCAACAGGACCAAAGTACACAAATATTTAACTGTGAAGAAGAAGAAGAAGAGGTTCAGAATTTTCGTTGTTTTAAAATGAGAGAAAATCCCCCTATTTATAAACAACAAAGGGTAATGTTAACAAATGTTTATTGTGTTTTATCAGAAAGATTACAACTATTTGAAAAAGTTGCAACCCTTCGGAAAGGTCACAACTTTTCATAAAAGTTGCAACTCTTCATTAAAGTCGCAACTTTTCATAAAAGTCACAACTTTTCATAAAAGGGAAAAGCTAGTTTCGAAAATAAATAAATTAAAAGGTAATTCTTATTTGTGGTGGCGCCACGTAGGCGGACTTAAGGTTCTCTTTTATATATATATATAATAAGCTAGAATGCAAAGAGAATGCAAAGATTTTTCTATCTATTTAGTTACATTGTAACTATCTTGTTAGCTTTCAACCAAAAGGAGTACTTCTTTTAAAAAGATTTTTATATCTATTTAGTTACATTGTAACTATCTTGCTAGCTTTCAACCAAAAGGAGTATTTCTTTTAAATAATAAATATGTCATTGTATGAGCTATTTATTACTCATTTTTTATCTGACACATAGTTTACGAAAGTAAATTAGATTTGAGAAAAAACATTAACTGATACTTGAAGTTGTCCAAGATTTTCAAAAAGTCACTTTAACTTTGCGTGCATCCTATTACCCCACAAAACATTCAAAATCACAATAAATACACATTTTTTACACAATATTCCACTTTGGACAAAAATATCCTTCAAATGTGCAATTTCTTAAAAACAAAAAGTGGGACCCATTATTAATGTATTGAAGGATGCTTTGGTAATTTCCTATGATGAATTCGTTTTGTTTGTTTCTTTTAAATTTATTTTACTATACTAAATAATTGTATAAAATATTATAAATCACGATAATTAATTACTTAAATATTTAAAAGATATAAAAATATATAAAAGATCTGATTGACTCTTCAAATTTTACCGGTGACACATAAATTTGGACAAATGAAATAATATAGATTATTTGAAAATTTCTTAGAAAGTACTATAAATTACAGTAATTAACAACTAGAAATATTTCAAAGACAAAAAAAAATTAATTGAATCTCAAAAAAAAATTTAGTACTACATACATTGAGAAAGAAGAAATGACCTCTATTATTTGAAAATGGCATTACAAATCATACAATAAGAATTAACAATTTAAAATTTAAAAAAACTCTAATGCTTTATACTTATTCTATTTCCACTTTGGACAAAAATATCCTCTCAATATGCATATTTTTTAAAACAAAAAGTGGGACCCATTATTGATGTATTGAATGATGCTTTGGTAATTTTCCTATGATGAATTCGTTTTGTTTGTTGTTTAATTTTTTTAAATAATTGTATAAAATATTATAAATCACAATAATTATTTACTTAAATATTCAAAAGGTATAAAAATATGTAAAAAATATGATTAACTCTTCAAATTTTATCGGTGACACATAAATTGGACAAATGAAATAATATATATTATTTGAAAATTACTTAGAAAGTACAATAATTAACAATAGGATATTTTAAAGACAAAAAAAATTAATTGAATCTCGAAATTTTATTAGTACAACATAAATTGAGAAAGAAGAAATAACCTTTATTGTTTGAAAATTGCGTAAAAGATATTATAAATCATACAACAATAATTAGCAATTTAGAATGTTAAAAGACATCAATTTTTTTTTAACATAGTTAACAATATTTAAAAATTTAAACTATTTTAAATTAATATTAAAGTTTGATTAGCTCTTTAATTTTGTCTTTGTCACATAAATTGAAACAAAAAATAATATATATTGGGCCCGTGCTAGCACGGGCTCCGATGTCTAGTATATATATATATATGATATGATACATAACATATATAAACGTTATTTTACAAACCAATATCAACATACCCAGCAGTAGTGTAATCCTGAAAAGGTATATCCCACCACGTTTATTTTGTCAAAAAAAAAAACTATCTAACAAAAGATATGATATCCAAATATAAATTGGATCCAACAGTAACAGATCCATCTCGCCATTTATGCAATGGCAATTTGGCAACGGCCACAAATATGTTAGGCATCGACTAGCTTGAGGGATGCTTGTGAAGCTAAAAGCTTTATTGAACACATCTCATGGTCACATTGGTTATTATCATATATGATACAAAATTACAACTTAAATATGACTACACCATAAACTAAGGATCTACAAATGAAATTGGGAATTGAATCCCCCACACCCACACCCACTCTCTAGTCTCTGCCTTCCTCTTCCCGCTGAGCCCTTCCTCCACAATCTTCTATATCTAAATAAAAATAATAATCCCTTGACGTGAATCTGCACAAGAAGCTTGTTTTCAGCTCGTACTTGTCAAACACATGAAGAAATTATCTATGCGCTGATTATTTTGTTTATTGCTACTTGGAGACGGATTCTTCCCACACGAGCTATTCAACAAGGACAAGTGCATGATTCAGTGACATAAGAATAATTACACTCTGCCTCTTCCTATACTTCAACCTGCAAAACCAAACGACAATTAAGTCTGTTCACATGTGAGTGAAAGAATTCAAAATTATCTGCTCTAGCAACATCAAATAGACACCTGAATATACACGGTGTTTACATATGAAATGTATCATTTGTCATCAGGATTCCAATTCTCTTCTGTCCCCATCCTCTCCGCAACTTGACATCCGCTGTTGCAACTGTAGCAGGTGAAAAACCATTGTTAGCAAGACACTTGGATGCTATTAATAAACCTCTCCAGTTCATACAATTAACTTCAGGCCTAGTTTTTTAAACCTCATCAAAGTAGAGAGATATTTCCACACAGTTGGTCTTCTATTATTATCTTTTCATTTTCTTCAATTCAATTAAATAGTACATAGGCCTTTGCATCAAAGAAACGAGTATGCACTCACCTGCCAGTATTTTAATTTTTCTGCAGTTAACTCATCCGTCAAATTAATCATCCTGCAAAGTAGAGACAAGATCAGTTCTTTAATTAAGAATTCCACATAGAACTGTGAGAAAAATGCACCACAGTGGACTGACCTAGCCTGAAGCTCAGATATTTTGACTAATAATAGCTTCTCCCTCTCAGAAACAGCTGCTTCAACCTGCAAAACGGAAGTGTCTTAATCAAAATGAATGGTTGCCATGTGATAAAAGACAAGTTCCCAATAAGAGACAAATGTTTATATAGCTCCATGTAAACATTTGCAGTTTCTAAAGTCTTAAAGCTAAGCATATTTTCAAAGCAAAGACATGTACTTACAATTCCATTGTTCTCTGGGCGCTGTAGGGGAGATAACTTCCCATTTTGAGAAGCTGAGACAGAACAAGAAATTTCAATCTAAATAAATCTGAATCCATGTTACTATAGGTAAAACATATTTCTTTACATAAGGACATCAGCCATTTCTTCCTCATACTTACAATCTCCTGCCTCAGATAGTTGCAAGCTACTCAATAGATTTACAATGAGATCCTGATAACAAATGCAGTAGAAATTAAGCATTAGAACAACCATAGAAATAGAAATGGACTAGTTAATCCTGAATTTAACATTTCTTTTCTTGTTTTTGTTCTGTATTTTTTCCTGTGTGTGTATTTGGGTGGGTGGGGGACACGGATCTTGCATCCCTACCATACACTGATGCCTTACCTGTTGAATTGACGTCTGTTGAAAGAGATTTTGCAAGTGAGGCATGAGAACTGAAGCAGGAACATTATTAAGGCCAAGTTCCTTGGGCGGTTGACTGGGTGGCTGAAAATTTATGAAAAATGCAGTATTACAACAAGTTCTTTGCTTTTTCTCTTGGTTAAGACAAAATAGCACCATTAGGGTGGAGCCCAAGTTTTAACATATTCATATCATTTAACTACAGCTGTAAAGTAAGGGACGATACACACACCATTTGTTTAGATTCGATCAGCCATTCTCCAACACTAGCAGACTTCCTAAGTGGTGATCCCTGTGAATCACAGAAATCTTGTGTCAAAGATGCAGCAGGAATGAAATACTTGAGTTGTTTTGAGAAGGCAACACCACACCACTTACTTGAGAAGATCGTCGAGGAACTGTACATAATGGAATATCCTAACATACATATTTAAGTTAGCAAATAGTCATCTAAAAGAAAGAGAATGACAAAATATGATTTACCTTTACAAGATCTACATTTTCTGATGTTACAGAGAAACGTCCCTTTATTTGGACCAAGTTCGGCTTCGACTTGTCATCCAAAGAATCTTTGAATCCTGAACATATAAAAATTATCATTACTGCAAAGAGAAGTCTGCCTTAAATAGCATGCCACCGAGATTTTTTCTATAAACCATTGTCAGTCTTGCACACAATAGCAAAAAATGAACTTGTCTTGAAAGCATTAATACCCCCAGATGATTTAATCGGAGCTGATAAACTATTTCCTGAAGCTCGGTTTGGCAGCATTAAAGGCCCACTAAAGCTGGGTGCTCTTCGCACTGGATGAGCTTTATCTCCTGGTTGTTGGTTTTCAATCTCACTTCTGCAAGAGCAGCATAAGTTAGCTCACTGAAAGTTCTCATTTGATAATTGTCTAAATA